TCCCCTAAATGAATCATTCAAATCTTTATGGTCCTCAAGCCTCTTACTCGACCCTGCCTCCCTCATCTCGAGATGATGACCTCCCCTCCTACTGACCTGAGAAATTGTGTCCATCAGCCAGGACTCTTGCCTGCAAACCTAATCTTCCCGTTTCTTCTCGGATCCTTCTCTCCATTCACAGAACAAAGGATTTCTAACTCCTTCTCAAGAAGGAAATAACCACCATCCCAATTTCAACCATCTGAATATAATTGGCTGTATTTCTTTCCAGTCTTTTCTAGGCAGATTTTTTTTTTTTTTTTTTTTGATGCTGTGGGCTCTGCTCATAAAAATGAAAGGAATAGCAGGGAAAAATACGACTTATATACAGCAAAACCCAAAACGCAGGGAGAAAAACTTTAGTAAGGACATTTATTCTCCACTGGAGGCATTTGATGTGAAAACATTTTACATCTCTCCCTTATTCCCTGCTTCAGTTTTCACAATTTTAGAAGGAGGCCATAGCTGTTCTTCTGTTGCATGGACTTTGGGTTAGCAGAACACTATAAGCTGCTAAAATCAATTAATCTGTCTTATATAAGTGATTTACTGATCATTTGCAATGTAAAAGGCTTAGTGGACATATAAAAAGAATAAATTACAGGGACCATTTGTTGTTATCTTTTGTATTTCTGTTACCTGCCACACAATGGCTCTCAGATGTTTCTTGTCTTGAAAGTGGTATCTGCCCTTAAGATATGGTATTAGAGATTTTTATTTTATTTTATTTTTTTAAACTTTTTTTTTTTAAGATTTTATTTATTTATTTGAGAGAGAGAGAATGAGAGACAGAGCACAAGAGGGAAGAGGGTCAGAGGGAGAAGCAGACTCCCCGCCGAGCAGGGAGCCCGATATGGGACTCGATCCCGGGACTCCAGGATCATGACCTGAGCGGAAGGCAGTCGCTTAACCAACTGAGCCACCCAGGCGCCCTGGTATTAGAGATTTTTAGAGCGCATATACGAAAATGAAACGGTACAGTGACAAGAGGAGAAGGTGATCAGTAACAATCAGATTCTAATTGGATGAAGGACTGGAAAAAGGCCATTGGTTTTGTTGGTGACTTTCAAAAGTGTAGTTTTAGTACCACAGCCATATAAAAAACCCCACAGTTTCTGCCAATTGGGAAGGCATGTAACCTTTTAGAGAACAAGACCACCTACACGAAAGTGTAGTATAATACCTCCAAACAAAGAAGACTTGTCCAAACAGTGTATTTTGTTGCTGGAAACTTCTTTTATAAGAAGTAATAAAGGATTGAGAGGGGTAGAATGCCACTTCCCTCTTCCTCTCTTCCTCAATTTTAGGTGGGAGGATATTTAGGATCCTCTTTAGATTGCCTCTGTGCTGTTTGAAACCCGGGATGATGGGGGCAGCCTTCCCTCCTGGGCCAAGACACTGTATCAGTCAGTCAATCTGATACAGTGTCATTGCTTTCTGGCAACTGGTCTAGTGTTGAGGCAATACTAACACTGTGTTCTTAAAGTATTCTTTGGTATTAAGTAGTGCAGTAGGACATAGGGAAGCTGGAGCCAGTTTTATGCACCAGAGAAGTACCAGCCCTGAAGTGTTAGCTTTTGGCGTTTTAGTTTGGAAAGAAGCATAATCCCTGGTTAAATGATACAGAATTTCAGAATGAGCTCTAGTTTAAATTCTGGCATTCCTAAAATTGTTCTGTTATTTAGCCAGATGATTTCAGACAAGTTTGTTACATAGTATAAGTTCAAATGTTCATTGAATAATTGAAAATAGGCGTACAAGTGGGCTATAGGACTGTCCTTATTCATGGTTGATGTTGTTACAAGAATACATTTTGAGCGTTTGTAATAATTTTAGGTCTTGGAAAGACAATATATGGCTAATTTTTCATGAATGTCTCAGACATAAACAATCTGGAGTTTATAGCTGGGAGAGAAGTGAAGACAGCTTTCCTCAAGCTCTGTTCCTTTCCAGCCCTCATTCCTGGTTTCTTTAAATAAGAGGAAAGCTTGTTTATATTTCAAAGTTAATATTCTTCCTCAAACACTTTTTTTTGTGTGCCTCAGTACTTTTGCATGTGCTATCTCTTCTCCCCCCAAGTCACTTTTTAAAAACTTTATTAAAGAAAATGTCAAAGAATAGCGAGATAGTATTAACATCTCCCGTTTACTCATCACCCAACTGTGACTGCTAACAACATTTTGCCAATTCCGTTTAATTTTTTAATGGTTAGCTCAGATGTTTTCTTGGTGAAGCTTTTCTTGTTTCCCAGCCAGAGATATCTGGTTTCCTCACTGTGTACCTGGAAAAGTTTCTACATACCACTTGTATGTGCTTATTAAATAGTACTTATTACACGATTACTAATGATTATCTTTTTATTTTTCTCCCCCACAAGATGTTCTCCTTGAGGGAAAAAGATGATAGGTCTTACTCTATAAAATGTGTGTAGTAGCTAGCTTGTTAATTAACATTTGAAGTATTCATTAGACATTTGTAAAATTAATTGTCTCCTCCCCAAAGTAGTAGGAATAACTCATTTGTAACTGCACGTACCAGTAAACAACAGGAAGTTTATATGTATGTGAAACATTTAACAGTTTTTAGAGATTGGCTATTTTGATCTTTACCTGCTGAGTGCGCTTCACTGAGTCGCTCCCAGTGGAGCCTGTCTGCCTGTGAGACCCTTATCAGGATGCCCCGAAGCACGTACATTGTTTTAATTATAGTCTCAGCAGATACTGGGTTGTGGCAGAATATACCGTGGGAACCTAAAGAATAATGATTTAAAACAAAAACCAGCTCCCAGAGAATGTTCTGGGATGGGTGTGGCAGTGAGATGAGAAAGCAAAGAGGAATTCCTTTCTGGAGGCTGAGTACTTCATGGGTCTGATAACTGTTCCTTTGTAACAAGTAAAATCTACACGTCTGGTTTTTGTAATTGTTTACTTATACAAGGTTTACAAAAGGCTTGCAGAAATAATGCAAAGCATATTTGACCCAATAAATTTACAGGACTCCTTCCACATTGAATGGTATGTCCATAGTCCATGCCATTGACATATTTACTGTATTCTGTACCTCCATATTGTGAGGTTTAGAAGTTAATCATTATTGTAATTACATTTTTGTTTTATTTCCTGAATAAATAAAAGGAAAAAAATCAATTGGGAATAAAGATTCTGAAATTGTATATAATTGCTCTTTTCAGAGAAATTTTATATCCGAAATTTTATATTGTAAGGCTGTAAAATTGATTTTTTTAAATACTCTGTGGAACTTAGTAGAAATATCGACTGTAATCAAAAGTAAATAGCACAGGACCTAAATAGGAGCACAGGATGGGGTGCTCAGTTTAAGATCACAAGGATGGATTTTCCAGGTTAATACTTTAAAATATGTTGAAGTTCTAATGAAATACAGTGATCTAATGGAATATAATTAACTCAGTGAAGATTGGAATTGTGTGAGCTTTAAAGAAGTAACACTGCAATTTATTTTTTCATTTTTTTGGTCCTTTTGATTAGAGCTACGATTTTTGTTTAATGCTCAGGGTTGTGACAGTGAAATGAAATTTGAATTGTCACTAATACTACAGGAAGATAATAGTGGATGAGTGTGTGGCTTATCCATGTAAGAGAAAATAGATGTTATAAGTCCTACGTGCAATAAAAATATTTAGGAAGGGAAAATTAAACTCCTAAATATTTTTGGTTGTGTCATTTCCTTCATTTAGTCATTGAGTTTGTGTGTTTTTCTTGATATGAGAATGTTTTTTTCTGTACTGTGCAGAGCTTTTTTAACTATGACTATATTGTGGTTAGCAAAGAATAATTTGCTGAATTGATTTCAGACTGATTTTCGTACACAGAATCTATAAGTTTTCGGTAGATATATCTAATCGCTCAGTAATTAATTCACCTAGTTGGATGAACTACTCATACACACACGATAGCCAAAACCCATTGCAGTGAAAATGGAAAAAATCAGGCTTCAACCAGGGAGCCGCCCTTGCAAATATGATTGTCCTTTGTGAGACCTTTCAGGAGTTGGAGGATGAAGTACCTTGCTTTTGAGCATTGCATGTTACTGAACATATTTGCTTGGACAGTAAAGTATAAACATCTTATAACCTTAGATAATAGTTTCTTCTGGAGAGACCTCAAAACAGGAGTTGCTTAGGAGTGGGTATAAGTAATCATGTGGTGCTCCGAAGCAGGTTGTCCTAAAAAGAAACAGGTTTGTATCTTAGCTTTCTCCTCTACCATATCGGTGAACTTATCACAAGTTATTTGACTTGCTGAAACTTAGTTTTCTTGTCTGCAAATTGGCTTTAGTAATATTTTCTTCACCAGGTTGTTGTGAGGAATGAGTGAAGTAATAAATGTGAATATGCCTGGTATATAGTATATCCTCAGTAAATGTCAGTTGATTCTGAATTTGATACTGTGACGTTGTTTAGATCTCCTAATCTTATTGAATGATAAACCTTGGGTTGCTTGTCTTAGAGAATGTGAAGTGCCTTCAACTGAGAAACTGTTATTTTTCATTCAGGACAAACAGGAGCGAGCTACCTAACAGTTTGTTTAAAGTGCTGTTGATGATAAGGCTCTGATGTTTCTTAAAAATACCAAATATTCAGGTTTTCACAAAAGGAAGAGGACAGGTTCTGTGAACTTTTCGATGGGGAGCCTGACTCCAGTCCTAGGTGGTTTTCTGTATTGAGTCATTCCCGGGGCTGTTTTTGAGCACCTCAGGGAAGGAGTACCTCCTGGGATACTGCAGGGATTCACTAACCACTAGAGGCATAAATAATTTCTTCTTTAAATAGAGTTACAACCTTGGTAAATTAGGAAAATTCACCAGATATGATGATGGAATTTCGGCAAGAAGTTTGACAAAGACTCGAGATGTTTCTCTGAAAGTGGTAAAGAATTTTATTCAAAGATTGCTGGTTAACGGGAAGAGGACAACCTCTGGACACCTCCTGTGCTTGGCCCAGTTCTCTTTTACTAGTGACTGAGATGGAGATACTGATTACATGCTGACAGTATTTTCAAATGCTGAAAGCTGAAAGAGATAGGAAATTTGTAGGGTGTCCGAATCTAGATCCAGAACGTCTTGACAGGCAAGAATATATACGATGAAATTCCATTGCAAATGTATAAGGGCTTATGCTTGGGCCTCTGAATCTAACCGTACAGGTTCAGGTGGTAGCTTAGCAGGAACAAGTGTGAAAAAGAATTAAGGGTGGGAGTTACTCTCACACGACATTCAAAAAATTTATGAAGCCAGTACGATTTCAGGCTGTGCTAGTTGAAATTTGTTAACTTAGACTGTAGGAACTGAGATCCCTGTGTGCTCTGACCAGGCTGATCTTACCTCATTTTCATGGTATGTCCAACAAACTGGAGTGTGTGTATAGAGGAGAGCAGAAAGGAGGTAGTGAGGTAGCTGGACAGTGTTAAACCATTAGAGAAATGATTGAAGTACCTGAATGTTTATTCTAGAAAAGATTATTTGGCAGCCTGTGTCAGCTCCCCTTAGGTGTTAGAGGAGCACTTACTCAAAAAGGGGAGCACATTATTTCAAAAGGTAGAATTAAGGACAGTAGGTGAAAGTCAAAGTGAGCTAGTTAAAATCTTGGAAGGTGTTTTAAGCATTTGAGTCAGGCCTAAGAAGAAATGAAATAGTTTTCTTTTTTAACTATATGAGATTAGTTAGATAGGACATATTGTAGAGGAGTGTCAGGCTTATCTGATGGATCACTATTTACTTAACTGATGGGTATTATATATACCTGATGGATAAGTATATTGGATGAACTGTAGTTTCTTCAAGCCCAGGAATTCTGAGATTGGTGTATGAATAAATACATGACTGAACACAAACAATTTGTAATGATTCCTTTTAATTGGCCATTTATTAACATAGGTTCAGTCACATTTAGGTTTATACTTTAAGAAATACTTATTTTTAGAGTGGTATTGCATATTTTATCTATAGGTAGTCTGCTGTTTTCTGTCTTTGTTACTGCAAGTAAAACAGATTAAACATGGGAAGACCTCTGAAGATTGTGGTGAAGACTTTCCTGATTGATAATATAATGGATAACATCTTATCTTTCACAGGTGGTAAACCTATTGATGGCAGTTTTGCTGACTGTGGAAGTAACTCATCCAAACTCCATGCCAGCTGTCAACATTCAGTATGAAGTCATTGGCAATTACTATTCATCAGAAAGAATGGCTGGTATGTTTTTAGTTGGAAATACCTCCTGCTCATCTCTCACACACACACACACACACACACCCACACCCACAACCCCCACAAAACAGATTGTTTAGAGGATTGACTAAATTGTATTTAAGTTACTCTACTTGCTGAGGCGTAAAAGTGTTTTTGTGGGTTTTTCAAAGATACTCAGTGAGAATTATAATTGAGCACTTCTGGCCAGAAAATGTTACGGACTACCAGAAGATTTTTTGAGAAATGTACATTGTATACCTTGATTCTTGTCAGTGCTGTGGAGAGAAGAAGAAATTACAAAAAGACTTATAAGCCTTTAAGGTCAGCTGGCAAATGTAGTTGAGGATGGGAGCAAATAGGCTTACAGGAAAATAGGAAATACGAATTATTGGAATATTTGCTGATACTTTTTGCTGAGGGTCACAGTTCTAAATATATTTCAGTCATTTAGATGAAAGAAGGAAGGAAGACGATGTTGGAGTTAAAAATAGAAGACATTCATGGAAATTGCTTTTTTAAGCCTGTTTATTCTCTGATAGCATTTTCATTATCTAGCTTTCTCTGAAATACAGGTGCAGAAAGATTCTAGTTAAGATTTTATATTGGGCACCTGGGTGGCTCAGTCCATTAAGTGTCTCCCTTCATCTCTGGTCGTGATCCCAGGGTCCTGGGATCAAGTCCTGCATCTGGCTCCCTGTTCCACGGGGAGTCGGCTACTCCTTCTACCCTCCTCCCCTCCGCTCATGATCTCTCTCAAATAAATAATAAATAAAAAATAAAAGAGATTTTATTTTATAAATGTTAGAAATTTAATATTTGAACAGAAAATTATGACTCAAACTTTGCAAAGTTTTTTGCATGTTTAAAATTTCACTTCAGAAAAATGTTCTGAGTACTCGTGTGTATTTATAATGTTACAGGATCTAAGTTATTTTTAGGTTTATTAGCTTTTATTATAAATTCTTGAGCTGCATTACATTTATGATCTTCTCTGATAAATTTATCAAGTGGTTTTTAAAACAAATTTGGTTGTTAATTCACATAATTCACTCACTGTCCATAGGGCTAACTGCTGTTTCTAGGATTCAAGTAGAGTTTTGTGGCCATCTGTTGACATTATAGTATGAAAACACTAACAGTTTAAACTGTGTTCAAGTGCTTTTTAAATGAGTCTACTGATTGTTCAGATATATATAATCCTTTAATTCTGTTGTTAAATGCGATAAAAGAGATACTAAGAACATACTAGAAACATCCCTCCTGGTGTTTGTTTTTTCTTCCCGAGTTAGTCTATTTCTGTTTAAAAACCAAAATACAATAATGAATAAAATGTTAGTTTTTAATGGCTATTTTTGGTACTTTAGGCTGTAAAATTATGCAAAACCTGATGTCAGCATTTTTTCAGCATGCAGTGTCAGCATGTGTTTCTCTTAAAATCAAGGTGTAGGAAAAGATTTATGGTTATTGACATTCTTGTATGTCTGTACAACTGGCTGCCTTGGCTAGATCTGCAGGGATGGAGTCACGGGTTTCCTGAATGGTCTGTGAGCGCTGTGCCTACCGTAGAGAGAGTCAGATATATTCGTTATCATACTCGTGTTGATTATAATTCTGCCAAAGCCCCTATTCTTGACAGAATATAAAAATGCATAGTACTTGGTCATATGGTAGTTTGTGTGTCTCTTTGCAGGTGGAAAGTTGATTTTCCCATGACCCAGTGTTAAAATGGCAAATTAAGTTCTGATCATTGGCCTGCTGGCGGATTTTATTTTTATTTATTTATTTTTTTATAGCCTTTATTTTTTTAAAGATTATTTATTTATTTGACAGAAAGCGAGAGAGGAAACACAAGCGGGGGGAGTGGGAGAGGGAGAAGCAGGCTTCCTGCTGAGCAGAGAGCTTGATGCAGGGCTCGCGGGGCTCCATCCAGGACACTGGGATCATGACCTGAGCTGAAGGCAGACGCTTAACGACTGAGCCACCCAGGCGCCCCAAGATTATTTGAGAGAGGGAGAGAGAGAGCACACACTAGCTGGGGGAAGGGCAGAAGGAGAGGGAGGGAGAAGCAGACTCTCCGCTTAGCAGGGAGCCCAATGCGGGGCTCCATCCCAGGACCCTGAGATTATGACCTGAGCCGAAGGCAGACACTTACTTAACCATCTGAGCCACCCAGATGCCCTGGCCTGCTGGCTGATTTTAAATAATAAGGTTCATGGTTATTTTTAATCAGCTAAACAGAATACGACATTCAATATATATGAAATGCTTCTGCAACATATACAAGCTGTTTTTCAAATATGAATTTAACTTTATATTCATGGTGGTAATGGGTGAACACTTGGGGCCCCCTGGAGAAGGTTCTTAAATGTGGTGGTGGCTGGAAACCAGAGGTTCACATCTGGGTATTTAGCCCTCATATTTTGTTTGCTTTATTGACTCACAAATACCGGAGCATCTCTTGTTCTCGGTATTATATGTGTATTTTTCACCCGTCATCCCATTTCTCCCCTATTTTGCTATAGGGCATCTAGAGGATATTCTCTGTCCTCTAGAAAAATTTAAAGAGGGCTTTTCTTACCTAATACAGTGCCAGATGATGATATTTGTACTTCCAAATGACAAGATAGTACATGACATTTATCTAATAGTGGGAATGTTCGGCAATTATTCAAACATCCGTCATTATTAGCGCCCTTCTGGTTCTTAATCTCTATCCAGAGTCAAAGAATTAACTTTAAATTTGTGCTAAGAAACTCAAGTCGAGTGTGACTTAATATTGTTGAGATTACTCTGGTGTTTTGTGAGACAATGAACTTGGATAATGTAGAGGAAGGGGACAACCTGAGAAGGAGGTGGGGAACAAAGAAAAGGCTTGTAAAAGTATCGGAGAAATCATGAAGATAGGGGATGGGGAGCAGCGAGTTCACATGTTGGGATGAGGGAGAGGAGGTTAATGGAGAACCTTGAATTTCTGATTGTGTATTTTATCTGAGGTCACAGGGGGCAGCTGTAATGCTCTGTATTGAATATATTTGTGTCTTTCAATCAAGTACCAACTTTTCCCTCCTGTGGAACCCTGCTTTGCTCACAAGACCCAACTTATGTCATTTCGTATTTTTTTCCTGATTCCCCCGGGAAAGCTAATTGTTTCTGCTTCTGTTGTAGCACTTTGCCACATTGGATTATAATTCTCTGTTTGCACACCTTCAGACTCTTAGACTCTGGGCAGAGATCTGTCTCTTTAGCTGAGTGACTGGTTGATGATAAAAGAGTCAGTGAATTGTAGCTAATTTAATAAACAAAAACAAAGGCATGAATTTGTCAAACGTCCTTACTTAATGCTGAGACTTTTTTTTTTTAACACGCTTGGTCTTAGATTTTTTTCATAGCCAATCTTGAAAATACTCATTTTTTAAGCTAGCTCTAAAACATCATTTTGTCATGAAGAGTTTTGTTCTTTTTGTTATGTTTGTTATGTAAGTAGCTTAATTAGATTTTTGTTTTTGTTTTCTTAGATAATGCCTGTGTTCTTTTTGCCGTCTCTGTTCTTATGTTTATAATCAGTTCAATGCTGGTATATGGAGCAATTTCTGTAAGTATTCATATTTTCGACTTTTAGAGTTTGACCTTTACTGAGTGGTACTTAATAATTTCATATTTATGTGTGATGTTGTGGTTGTTATTTTTTGTCTTCAGTATCAAGTTGGTTGGCTGATTCCATTCTTCTGTTACCGGCTT